CTTTAGCACACGTGAACAATAGCGCCGTCTTAAAAGCACGCCCTTAATGTCAGCCTCGCTCTGGAATTCATTGCAAGTATTGTGGAAAGAAACTTGGTGGCCGATAACAAAGCCGGCTCAGTTTAGTTTATACACGTATGAATACACGGCCAATTAAAAACCACTGAATAACGATTCTTACAAAGTTAGTCTAGGCGACTCTGTGTCACAGTGTGAACACGGTATTAGTTGTTGAAAATGCGTCAGTTGCTCTTGCCTAGAAGCCTCATTTTCACGCGGATAATTCATGCAGATATTTTTTTAGAAAATGTCTCCTTCTATTTGTTAGGGACCCAGAATAAATAGTGTCCCACACCTTCACCTCTATACACACCTGTATGAATTCCAATTCGGAGACGAATTCTTCTGCCCGGTAAATGTGGTATGCGGAATTCTGCGATGGTGTCCATTATATGCAATGCCATGGCTGCTATCTCACTGGAATGCCGACTTCCATTGCGTTTGGGTAAACCTGAAACAAACCAGAAGACCATCTTCAATTCGCAAAGCTCCGGTGTGCACGCTAGCGTATACAAAACCTAAATACGGACAGGCGGACGAACGGGGAGAGGAAGAGAAAGAAGGGCAAACGGAAAAAAACAGCTCACACGCAATTCCGACTACGAATTGGCACAACCCCGTTGTGTCATATTAATATCATCTTTTTCGTTTACAATGATTCACCTTTTAGGTGAAACTTTCCTTCTGACGAACGGAGAGAGGAAGAGAGAGAGGGTCAAACGGAAAAATGGCTCACACGCAATTTCGAATACGATTTGGCACAACCCCGTTGTGTCATATTAAGATCATGTTTCGTTTACAATGATTCATATTTTAGGTGAAACTTTCCTTCTACATTAAATTGTGAATCTTCAGAACTGGGAGGTAAAATCAGATCAAAATTGAATTGTTATGTATTAAGTGTGCATCCTTCACTTGGGGAGTCAATTAGGTTCCCATAAATGATACCTTATACTTTTCTATGAGTGGCATGGACATGATTTTTATATGGAGAAGTACGATTATCACGAATCAAACGTATTGTCATTAACTGCGCGTGGAAGACCTTTCGAATCTTAAGACATATTCGTTTAAGAAAGAATATAACAAGTGCATCCTCAATAACAACATGATCTAATTTATATTCAACGCTGCGTTTCCTGTTGCCGGGTGTTGTAGAGAAAAAGAAAACATGCACGTGTACACTTGCCGTTAAAAATATATATTATTTTCTTGAGATATAAACAAATCTCCTGTTAAAGGAAGGGTAATGTAAATGTCACGTAGCCCCACTATCGATTCCGGTGTCATAAACAGTGGGAACGGAACTCCGTGAGCTATAGTCATGGCAACGAAGTATTGCACACTTCAGTTCGTGATTCAGTGTTGTTGGATTCAGTGTTCACACATAACCACTCACAGTGGGATAAAAGTTGCTACCAACTATGTTTACGGCCATGCTGTATGGAAAGGAACATCAACAGCGAAACACGTACAACATGGTATTGGGTTTTAATATATCATTGTTAATCGATGAGTTAAGGATGTGCGATTGCATTGCGAATTTAATTGTGTCTTTGTTCAGTCCAAGCCACCAAGAACTTACCGGATACCATCATGTATGCATCGCCAATCGTTTCAACTTTGTAAACATCCCAACTTTCAATACGGACGTCGATATACTCGTAGAGGACGTTAAGCATCTCGACCACCTACGAAAATAAAACATTGTTTATGAGAAAAAAATGGTTAAGTGACAGAGAGTGGAGGGTAACTAATAATTCACATAATTGTATGACAACTGATAATCACACTGTATTCAACGTACGAACGTATATAGTTGTGTTATGATCGGTCATTGTACTAGTTCAATGAAATGTCATATTCACAAATTATCGCTCATTGTAATTCAAAGAAACGTTATATTACAAACTGAATTTGATACAAATAAAATAAATGCATTCAAGGTATTTGAAATAGTATAGTTTTTATTTATTCATTAGAGTTATTCGTGTTAGTACTAATTATAATGTGTGCATTTCTAATAAAATCATTTAGTCGAGTCACATAATATAACCTCTTGCCGTGCGTTGACGTGTGTATTGCACACGCACGTTGTCAAAAACATGGCATCTATAACACAAAGCACAAGTGTCAGGATATAATCCTATGTGTATGTGCATGTGTGTTGTCGACATCTGGGCTTGGCATGTTCGTTCCATTAGACGAGAAAGTTATAAATTACCGAAACATAATGCAGGAGGTTGGACTGTATTGAATGCTGATGAAACTCAAAATCACAATTATTTTAGTGATATTTGCTGTAGTAATAGCTGTTCTGTTTTATTTATCCAATAATATTAGAATACATGTTTATTGTATTAAACAAAGGATTAATATTTGTCATAATCGTGGTGCCTGTTGAATGAAATGTATCAGTAGTGCATATTCGTTGCACTATTATATTATTTTAACTGACCAATCACGTGGACAGACATTTTACGAGAACTTGTGTATTTCTGCTTAGACAAAATACAAAGTTGAGCAATTGTTAATCTAAATATCGATGTTTTGTTAATAATGGAGATTTTACAAAGATAATGATAGATTGCCTCAACTGAGAAATTTTTAAATGTTTGACAGATTTCCGATAGCGTATTGTCATGCCAGGCAGATCTGTATTAGTCACGTCGCAAATGGCAAACATACGTCATTTAAACATTAGTCAATATGTGTGTTTGTCAGACAGATTTGTGTATATATGATGTTGTAATCTCTTAATTTGCCGTGATATATTTACTTATCATCATCAATCACATTCAGTAAGTACATTGTATTGATTTGTCTAACAGAACCTAATTACATGTCATGAATCCACACATTCCGAAAAGACAGGCGTTATTAATAGTTTGTTTAGATATAACAATATTATGCTTCCATTACCGATATTATTCATAAGTAACTCTGCCATTGCCATTATCAGTGTCTGTGACAAGACATGATTTATACAATATGTATTTATTATCTCAATATGTCAGTTATTGTAACTATGTTATCTTGTTATTGGAACAGCCAAGTAGAGAAAGAATCCATCAGTTCACTGTTATAATAGGCTATCGTAAACTAGTATATTAACGTTATAAACAACACATAACTCGATACAAACATCTAAATGACCAGCGATGTGTGGTAACATAACAGCATTTTGGAATGATCCAAGTACATACAGGGTAATGGACGTGAGGATTCATAATTCGAAATTTCTGGTTAGGGGGGAAATTCCGTAGCAAAATAGAATTCATATTTACTGAATACGGAATAGGAATATAGAATTATATCAAGAATACATTTCAATTGCCAAGAATATTGATTAGCACAAAGTAAATAAGGAAAAATACGTATTGATTGATTGATTGATTGATTGATTGATTGATTGATTGATTGATTGATTGATTGATTGATTGATTGATATTAAGGTGCATGTATTGATTAACATTACGGTATAACAACATTCTGTATTATTTGACAGGGAAACTAATTAATACAACATAATTAATTGAATATACTTGTGTATAGTGATTACAGCTCTGTAAAACGAGGTATTTAAGTACTCTAATTATATTTTATTTGACAGGAGAATTGATTGATACAATTAAAAGGGTCATGAAGTGAGGTGGTGCTACCATGTGTTACAATGCATGGTAATGCACGTGTAAACACAGCTAAACAGCTGGAATGGAACTTTCCGACTATTTGTATGCAATTATCATAACCATAGTTTCGATGTATGGGGCATTATCATGGGCTTAGTCATATAATACAACAACGATCATGGCAGCTACTTAATGGATTTAAAATAAACAGCCCATGTATGAATTGCAGCAATGGAGGGTTGAGATTTTCCTATTCGCTAATAATTTGTATACATAAATATAATATACACAACCATTGATCGTGTCATTCAAAAAAATGTATTGGTTACAATTCCTGAACACGTACGGTATAGTAATGTGTACAATATAATACAATATTCGGAGCATTGAATACAATATTGCTATCTACCAAAACGTCCTTACAATGTACATTTTCATTACAGGTGTTCTAGGTACAAAGATTCCACGTATCATTTACAATTTACAATTTACAGTTTATAATATACGACACAATAATTATTATTTGAAAATTCCATTTCGTTTTATATTTCTGTGTAATATTTCCTCTGTCGAGGTCTGCGAAGGAAGATACGGTATTTTGGATATCATAATAATGAGGCACATTATTTTACCACGTGGTTCAACCAATGGCT